AATTACTAAAATTAAGTTAATGAAAAGGGATTAGGGGTGTAAGAGGAGATTAGATTCGAAAATCTCTCTCTGAACCCTTATTGCCGCCACCTTCTTCTTCCTCTTCTCTCTTGATTCTTGATTTCTGCTGTTCTCAATCACTTTTCTGCATCTTTTTAAACAGTCCATTCTTGATTTCTGCTGTTTTTCTTCTTGGTATTAGAGCGGGCTCTTCTTTTCTCTCTTTTCTCCTCTTTCTTCCCATACACAGTGTGTGGAGAACTGAATCGAATGAATAGATAAAGAATTTTTTTTTTCAGCCCAGTTGTTAGTGGTTTTTGGAGAAGAGGCTATCTTTGTCGTCCCCTTGACAATATCAAGTGTGTTGCCCGAAACCCTAATTAACCGGAGAAATCTGCTTGTGGGCCCCACAGGGAGTTTGACCCTGGCGCTTAGTGACTCAAAAGACTTCTTGTTCTTCATCTTGAAGATCGATTCAAGTTGCTCGGTGTTCTGTGAAGTCTACAAGGTGCGGCTGTTTTTTTTTTTTTTTTGTTTCTCCCAGGTTCCGGGTGTGACACAATTAATAGGTATGGCTACATAGAGGTTGATTCACAACACAATTTTTTTTTTCCTGTCTTCATTGACTGTTATTTGAAGTTATTAGAAGTTATTTTTGAAGTGTTTTAAGAGGATGGACCCTTCAGAAGTTGAAAACAAGCATGTTGCTGACCACAGTCAAGCTAGATGGTACCAATTATCTGGCATGGTCACAATTAGTAAAAATTCATATCTGCAATAGAGGCAAATGGGGTAATATCTCCGGGAGCAAGAAGGCTCCCTCAGAAGATGATCCATCCTATGAAAAATGGATGCAAGAAAATTATACTATAATTGGATGGTTAGTGAACTCAATGCAACCTCAAATTAGTCAACACTATTTGTGGATGAATTCAGCAAAAGAAAAATGGGACAATGTTGCTGAAACCTATTCTCAGAAACTAAATGTAGCCAGAGCATACAAGTTGAGGAGTTATGTGAAAACTTTAAGGCAGGGGAAGAAACCTTTGGCTGTTTATTTCTCAATACTGAAATCTCTTTGGCAAGAAATTGGCTTGATGGAAACTGTAGCCTGGAAAAGTACTAATGAAGCTAAAACCTATAGGAAACTAGTTGAGGGAAACAGGGTGTTTGAGTTTTTGATGGGGCTGAATCCTGAGTATGACATCACAAAGCATAACATCTTATCCAAGGATAGTGTTTCATTGTCTTGGGCCTATGCCTTGGTAAGTAGTGAAGAAAGCAGGAGACTAGTCCAGGTTCAAGGGGCTGGTCTAAATGATCACTTTGCTAACATGGGGCTGAAACCTAAGGGAATTATAGAAAATCTAGGTGGTTCAGGGAAGAAGGAAGTAATTTGTGAGTATTGTAAGAAACCAAAGCACACAAAAGACAAGTGATAGAAGGGGACTCCAAGGTGGTGGTGGGTTGGCTAAAAAACCCAGATTCAATGATATGGGTTTACAGAAAGGAATTGAAGAAATTCAAATGGTTAACTCAGTAGATGAAGGTAACTATACAGTGGGTGGGGAGGGAGGCAAATGCTTTCGCTGATTCTCTAGCTAAACAAGGGGTAACTAGGGAACAGTTGTATTGGGCCCAATTGTAACTTTATGATGGTTCTGTATCAATGAGTGAGGCTGCACCTCACACCTCATATTGGGATGCTTGTAATGAACTATTTATCATTTGCTTCTAATGAAATCAATTGAATTTTATCTATCAAAGAAATAAAAAGACAAGTGTTGGAAACTGCATCCGAAGCTTCTTTCCCTTCGTTTCCAAAAGAAGTCTGATAATATGAAGGCTGGAAGTGCCAATATTGCTGCTGGTCCAGATAGTGACAGATGCCTAACTGAAGAGAGGACTACTAGTGAACAGTTAGCAACTCTCTTCTTCCAACCCTCCGGGAAATTCAACCTCTTCTAGATTAGCTCATTCAGGTATACGGGCTTTAGCTAATCATGCAACTATCTCGGGTAATCGTAGGATCCCTTGGATTATTGATTTGCTTTTCCACCTTGCTAATCATGCAACTAGCTAATCATTCAGACCATATGACCAGCTTTTCCACCTTGTTTATTTCTTATGATTTGCTTCCCGGCAGTGATAAAATCACCCTAGACGATGGCTCTCTTGCTCCTATCTCTGGCAAAGGAACCATCAACGCTACAGACTCTTTGGTAATTCCTTCTGCTTTTCATGTACCTAAACTAAATACAAATTTGTTTTGTGTAAGCAACTTAACTAAGTCTTTGAACTGTAGTGTAACCTTTTTTCCTTCCTACTGTGTTTTTTAGGATCTGGAGTCTCAGAAAGTGATTGGGAGTGGCCATGAGGCAAATGGAATATATTTGCTGGACACTCTTGGATAGGGCCATGGACAACCTGGTAAAGATGCTTTTGGACCTACATTTTCAGAGTCTGTCAGTCGTGTTATTTATGCCATTTTCGTTTGGGTCATCTTTCTTTTACTGCATTGAGTCATTTATTCCCAGAACTATTTAAGGGAATTAGTTTGTCAAGTCTTCATTGTGAGTCTTGTGAGTTGTCAAAACATTGTAGAAGCAGTTACTCTTTGGGTAATAAAAGATCTTCTTCTCCATTCCATATTGTGCACTCTGATGTCTAGGGGCCTTACCACTTACCCTCTATGGGTGGCTACAAATATTTTATCTTGTTCATTGATGATTTTTCACGATATACTTGGATATTTTTGATGAAGTCCCGTGATGAAATTCCCAGACTTGTGAGGCAGTTCCATGAATTTGTTCTAACCCAATTTGATACCAGAATCAAAATTTTCGGATCTAACAATACAAAAGAATATTTTGAGTAAAACCTAACCTGCTATCTCACTGATTTGGGGGTTATTCATCAAAGTTCCTGTGTTAGGACTCCAAAACAGAATGGAGTTGCTGAAAGAAAAAACCGGTATATTGTTGAAGTTGCAAGAAGTATCCTGTTTGCCTCACATGTCCCTACAAGATTTTGGGGAGATGTTGTTCTCACTACAACCAACCTAATCAACCGTATGCCATCCAGAGTGTTGGGGTTTAAGTCTCCTTTCAATTTTCTTCATCCGGGCAAGGACCTTTTTCCTATTCCACTCTGTGTCTTTGGCTGCACTTGTTATGTTCACATTCCAAGTACCTAGAGACATAAATTTGAACCAAAAGCCCACAAGTGCATTTTCCTTGGTTATGCCCCCACACAAAAGGGTTATTGTTGTTTTGATCCAAACACTAAAACTCGGTATGTCTCAATGGATGTCACCTTTGATGAGTTTTCTTCTTTTTATGATCCTTCTCAAGAGAGGCATTGTCCAAAGGGGGAAAATTTGTCACAGTTGTTTGCTCTCCCCCTCCCTGTCCCAGTTGAGTCTTCTTTTGAGCCTCTTCCTCCTTCAAATGAGTCAAGAGAGGAACAGTCATCTCATTCTGATTCCAATGTTCCTATTCCTCCTCCGTTACCTCCTTGTCCTCTTTTTAATCCCAAGTTGTACCAATGGTAGAGAAATAGAAGTGAGCAGATTGTTTCCTCTACACCACATGAGCCTCTTGCACTTCCAGTCACAAAAGAGACAACAGGTACTGATACAATCCCTTTGGAGCCATCTTTCCTAGACCTTGATGCCCCTATTGCTAGCAGGAAAGGTAAAAGGAAGTGTACTGCACATTGCATTTTCAAATACCTTTCTTATAGTTTACTCTCTCCTTCATATTTTGGCTATCTTTCTTCTGTTGCTTCTAATCCAATACCTAGGTCAATGTCAGAAGTTCTTACTATTCCAGAATAGAGGGATGCTATGAGAACAGAAATTGATGCCCTGCACAAAAATGACACTTGGAAAGTGATTGATTTGCCTGAAGGGAAGGAACCAGTAGGTTGTAAGTGGGTTTTCACCATCAAATATCATGTTGATGACACCATTGAAAGGTACAAAGCTAGGCTGGCTACAAAAGGTTATACATAGACATATGAAATTGACTATCTGGAGATCTTTGCTCCTGTTGCAAAGATGACCTCTGTGAGGGTTCTGCTATCTCTGACTGCACATTCAGATTGGCCACTTTATTGGCTGGATGTAAAAAATGCATTTCTGAATGGAGAGTTACATGAGGATGTCTATATGCCTCTTCCTCCAG